TTAAGATAGCGACCCTGTACGGCTTGCTGAGATTTGAATCCGCCTCGGAATCCGCAATGAAACGCATTCAAATGAGGTCGGTGTGGAGCAGTGCGAAGGAAAAGGGAAGTTATAGGAATTGGTGTCACGAAACTCCGCGATGGGCTCTTTCCTATAGTCAGATGGATATCGCTAGAGTGTCATTCCTTGTTTGAGTTTCGAAAGAGTCCCACATTTAGATATATGTTGCGAGAACTTTCTATGTTATTGAAGCTCTGCATTTCAGACGAAAATGGAATTTCAGTAGCATTAGAAGCACACCAAGAAAAATATGTATATTAGCTGTCATACCTTTCAAAGATTCAACTACGAAATAGACAAAATACTTGAAGTGGAATGGAATGTTGCTTCGCACTTCTGAAGATTTTTCAATTTCGAATAGGCATCAGCATAGTTCCCTTCTCGATATGATCAATTTTATCATTTGAAAAAATTATGTAACTATACAGGGGTATCTAAATAATACCGAATAATTCATTATTCCAAATTTTTTGGGATTTCCTCTCCTCGTTTCTATAAAATAAAAATATGAATATTTAGTCGTATAATATGTCTTGAAGCTTTTCAGTTTTCAATGACAATTGGTGACGTTAGCAATCAAATGAGTTACAGGATGTTTTCATTAATTAATCTTGAATTCACCATTTTCATGTTCAGATTTTAGTAGTGAATACCATGTTCTGTCTATATCAACTGAACAAGAAGAAATGTTATTGTCTCCGTTCAGAAGAATGCAAGCAGATTCCTTGATTTTTCTCTTCTGGTTGTTATCTTCTTTTCCAATGATTTTAATATTATTCCACTCTGCCATATGTTGTCCGTCATCAGTAAGGATATGTTCAGCTAGTTTCGATTTATCGATGTTTCTTTTCTTTATATTGTACTTGTGTTCCTTCGTCCTTACTGAAAGAGGTCTCTTGGTTTCACCTGTATAAAACTTTTTACAAACACAAGGCAATTTTACTTGCTTTCAATTCAATAAGTACCTACCTAGTTCTACATAGATATCGAAGAGATAAATCTACCTATTCATAACCCTAGAAGCATTCCTGAAGGAGCTTCAGGGCATTGAAGTGCACGGGCAAAATCTACCTATGTATATGTTCACGATATATCAGTTTGCCTGTGACAAAATTGCCTCGAATTTGGATCATACCTTCTTCTTTTCACAACTTCTCATTATTAGTTGACATCATAGTTGCAAAAAAAAATCACTGCAATGTGCACTGCACTGTACTGCACTGCACTGCAATAAATATCTTCTTCTTCTGATTTTGAAGGTATTAACACGGATTACTTCTTCTCCTTTTATCCTAATCTTCTAAGCTAAACATTTTACGATTAATATATTGTTTACCTGTAATCATACTATAGTCTGTTCGTTTGGAAGGCGAAGTAATATAGCTACAATAATTTCTCATTGTTCAATATTAGTTAGGTCATACAGTTCAGTACTTTCTTCTGTCATGTATCCTGTCATGTCATCGTGTCATGTCATTCTTCACTATTCACCTATTCTTCACCAGTGATGATGAAACTTTTTTCAAGTGAATTTTGATTTATAATTCCAAATTTCAATTTCCCGCTAGTACCGATGTTCGATTGCATTTTGGATTTGTTTTTTCTCTGTTCAGTCGATTTAAAGAACAATATACTTATATAATTACTTGCCTGGTTTTCCGGTTTTTGACCTAGTTTTTAGTTAAACATATCTCCACATGTCTTCTTAGGTAACTTTTTTCCTCAATAGTTCATTGTCTATGTGTAAAATCATAATCTTCACCAGATATTTTATGTGTCTGGAGATGGTCGTTGGGCCGAAACTAGTCACACAAACCTGATTTGTTAATATAATTCTTGTGGTCGACCGATTTTGTGCTATACTGTTTTTTACTTGGAAATCTATCGTTTTATTGGTTTCCTCTCTGATTTACCCTATATATTTTTCAAATCATCATTTGTGAGCCCCCTAACAATGTCGCAATCTTCTTCAATCCGTGACAATGACTCTTCCACTTCTTTCGTTAATTTAGGTGTACGAAATCTATTTCGGTGGCGATTCTATAGAAATTAAACGTCATTATTTGTTCGGCATCCTACCGACTTTCTGAATGCTCTTGATCCCTGCGGAATCTGTTTCGCCGCAAATAAACAAACAACAAATCACGGAATTCTCGACGTGATAAATTACTTTCTTTCGAAAATCGAGTTTACTCTGGAGAGGAGAACTGGACAAAGGGAAGCAGAAATATCGCAATTATATCTGATGTACAGGGTGGGCCAAATTTTTCTTTATGTTCTGGTTCCCACGAGAAGGGATATCCTGTAATGTTCAGAGAACATCGTGAGAACCAAGGGAAATGAGGTGGGAATTGGTGTTCTCTTCAAATTTCTGGAGGTTATATGCCTCGGGGAACACCTCCCTTGTCAATGTGTTCCAGAGCCTCGCTGTTCGTTGAATGAACGAGTCTTTGGAAAGAGATGTTCTGCAGATCTCCAAAGTGACCACGAAGTGGTGCGAAGCCTCAACTCGACGGGTTAATCTCGCGGGTACTGCCAAGGGAGGAACAATTGTTGATATTTCAGAAGAGCATCGTCCATGAAGAAATCTATAAATTAGAGCCAGATCGCCCACTTCTTTACGGTGTCCCAGAGAAGGGAGTTTGTGAGTGAGGCATCACCCACAAGACGAATTGCCCTTTCTTTGGACAGAATCCAACAGTTTCAGGGTATGTTTGGGTGCTGCACTCCACATATGGGAACAGTATCCTAGGACAGGTCGGATCTGTGCCTTATAGATCATAAGCAGCTGACTGAAAGTGAAATAGCTCCTGGCTCGAAACAGAAAACCAAGTTTTTGGGATGCACTTTCAGAAATTGATCTCACGTGATTTTTCCAAGAAAGGTTATTGCTGACAGTAATCCCAAGCATCGAAATGAATGTGATCAAAGGTATGGTTACTCCTGACAAGCTTATGTTGAGCACAGTGAGATCGGCTTTTCTAGAGAAAAGGCATGCTTGTGTTTTGTTTGCATTGAAATCAACCAAGTTATTTTATCCCCATTCGAGAATTGTTGCCAAGTCCATATTTATGTTGTCAACATTTCTCCCTCGTTCGTTTCTGATTTGCCTGGCTGGAATTCGAGCTCTGGAAGAGAAGGCGGTATGGAGGGTACTATCATCCGCGAAGCTGTGTACTGGACATGAAGTTGCTTCCAACAAATCGTTGCTATGGAGTAGATATAGTGTTGGTGCTAGAATTGATGCTTGCGGAACACCAGCATTTATGATAAGAGAGTCAGATGAAATTCCGTCGACCAATACATGGAGAGACCTGTTTGGAAGAAATCTAGCTAGCAGAGAACATAGCTGGGGAGGCAAGCCATAAGATGGAAGCTTGGCGAGGAGTCCGTGGTGCCATACTCGATTGAATGCCTTGGAGATATCAAGTGCCACGGCTAAGGTTTCATCATGTGTTTCAATAGATTGCTGCCATATGTGTGAGACGTAAGCGAGCAGGTCACCAGTTAACCTCTGATGACGGAAGCCATATTGCCTATCGTTGATAATACCAGAATGTTCCAGGTATTTCATGAGCTCGATGTTGATAGCTTTCTCCATGATCTTAGAAATAATAGATAGCAGTGCGATTGGTCTGTAGTTGCTAGGTAGGGACTTTTTTCCTTTTCCAGGAACTGGTTGTACTCTTGCAATTTCCCAGTAGCTAATTCATCACCGTGCTTGAAGAGAAATTTCATAATATCCACTAATACCAAGGGATTCAAAACACCTACAGTAATCAGTACAGGGAAAGTCAAAGTTGATGGAATTTGGAGTTGCCACTTACACTATGAGTGTAGTGGTCCAACAAATGCACATCAATAAAGGAGCACGAGAATATTCGAAAACAACAAACCACATTCCGGATTATTCAGTCTTTGATATTGCTAGCATGTGTAAACGTTAAACATGATTCAAATCTTATACACCCAATATATTTCCCCTAGGATATCAAAGAATTCGGGCAATTTTCACCACCTGCACCTTACTAGATGAATCCTGTAATGAAAGCTCATAGTGGCCATTTTGGAAACGCAACAACTGTGATTTGGGTGATGTTATTAGGTAGTTTTCTTTTTACGATCCTCTTGCAGATATTGTTTCCTGGATGCTGCAAACTGCCTAGGAATTATGCGTTATCGATTTGTGACATACTGACTCCTCGTTACATTTGAACAAAGGATATTATGTACAATATAGTAACATGTGGAAGATTTCTTTGTTAAATCCTCAGACTTCAATGAACCATGATGATCGCACAGAAGAGATTCCCCTTTATTTTCATGGATAGAGGTAGAGAGGAGGACAAGGTGGTTATTGGATTTTCTTCAATTGGGTGCTATATGGAGATGCACTCTTTACTTTTGGGGCGCACGAAAGGGAATCCCTATAATATTCGGAAAACATCGTGAGTATAGAGTATCTACAGCTTCAACTATATACGAGCTGGAAAAAACCTCGAAAATGAATGTTGTAAGGTTTCATCTATAGTATTTTTGGCACTTCCTGAATGAACAAATGCGAATCACAGAATGGAAAAAAGTATACCAAATCAGTTTCTGTATATTTTCAACTGTTGTGAGAAATATCTTTCTTCTGTTCACAAATATATATAGTTTGCTGATGTTCTCTAAAGCCGTTTCAGGCTAAACTCTTGCTGCACTTCTGTAATGTTTGCAATATTTTCTTGATATAATCTTTTACTATTTCGTATTGGTATATTTTCTCTACCATTAGCTCTAGAACCTACCAATATTTACTTGTTTTCAAGGTGTAAAAGTGTGTTTTTACCACCAAGTAGTTTTCGTCATTTAATGAACCACTAGACGATGAAGACATAGCCACCTCTGATATAAATAACCCGCATACACTGTTCTTATGCGAGATTCGCAGGAATAGCAGTATGAATGGTAAAAAGTAACAAACCATTATAAATATATATTTTTTCAATTGGGTATCAGACATAATATTGGATAACGAAATTTCAGACTAAACACCTATCGATATTAATTAGCATCAATTACTATTCGAAAATAACTCTAGTAGATATCTTCTCTGTATTTTCGATGAAGGCGTTTTCGGTAACTCCGGGACGAACTTTATTCCGCCCAATAGCCTATGTCGCTCTGTCATTCGCTGAATGAAGAATTCTTCAATTTCTGCTGCTGTTGCAGAAGCACCTTTCTTCAAAACTATGCAAGCTGCTGGAAGAAAGCCATCGCTGATGTGCGGTATCCCTAGAACTCCAGCTTCTTCAACTGCTGGATGTTCTTCTAATACTGATTCCCAGTAGTCTGGAGCGACCTGAGTACAGATTACAAGTTGTTTCATCAGGTTCAGGTTCTACAGAATTATAAATCCATGGAAACATAAAAAACCGTCAAACAAGTAAGATGCTGCCGCGGATGAAACATACTGGGTGTTTGAAAAGAGGTTTCCTCGTTGCTATAGGAAAGTATTTGTTTTTTCTTCCAAGGAAGAATTGATATTTTCATCACATAGAGTAGGTATGTGAATTCTCGATGTATTCGTTTGAATGTATCTATTTTCTTTCATGCTCATGATATATCTGAGAATATATTTTTTTTCAATACTTCTAAATGAGTTTGTTGAGAAAAAAATTATACACGTTTTTTATTGTGGAGTTTAAGTAATGATGGCGTGAGACTGATAGTCTTTTTGAAAGAAAGTGAGTTTGTGTATACATATAGGCTTTTTGACCATACCTTCACGACTCCATGCTTGAAATTTTCATTACTTCTTCCCACGATGTAGATGCATTCATCTTCATCATAATATCCTCGGTCTCCCATTTTTATAAAACCATCTTTGTCGACTTTAGATGAATTATCATTGTTGAGGTAACCAATCATAGCATAAATGGATTTCAAGCAGACCTCACCGTGTTCGTTGGGACCCAATATTTCTCCTGTTTGTTCATCAATGACCTGCAAACATAATAGGATAATTTCATTTTCACGCCGGCGGTAGTAGAAGTCAGTTTCTCTGGTAACAAAGGAGGGGAAGAAGTCTCGTATTATTCCCTAGAGAGATAATGTGACATATTTTCTCCCTAGGGAGTTTATACCAACTCTGCGCTTTCTCTTCGGAACACCTTTCTCTGAAGCGAGTATAAGCTGCATCATACAGATTTCTAGATCTCACTGGTAGCAAGTTAAGAATCACTGCAGAAGCAGTATCAATAGTTTCTTGGGGTTTTCCCTTGATTTTTTGTTCCATAACCGTTAAGCATTCTCAAACCTGGTTTCATAAATTTCAGTTTGATATTTGCTGTCACCATGAGTTGTCAAAAAGATGCATGTTGTCAAGATACGAATTCCACAAACTATACTACTAACAATTATGACAAAACGCATTGACCAAATTTTTATTCTTTCTCAATTTTTGTATTATTGCCAGCGCAAAAAACAGAATATACACCTTCAGGACAGAATGCTATTTTTCCCTCGGTACTTTGTATCTTGGAAAAAATCTTGCATTTTTGTCCCTTGATGTTAAATGTACTAATATCTGATCTATCATCACATTCAGTGAGTGAATGTGTTCACCATATCAGAACCAACTCTGAGCGAATTATTTTGAGATATAATAAATCTTTCTGAAGATTATTCCAAGAGGTGGAGTGTTTATTCTTCTACACTTTTTGAGATTTCGTTTCCTCATTTTCAGGAACAATTCTGAACATTTCCAACAAACAAATGGAATGAATCGTCCCAAGGTGTCTCTGCGTTGTGAATTTCACTATCAGAAATCCTAATGAACAATATCTTGCCAATTGTCAGAGACACGCTATTTGAAAATGCAATGCAATATCCACGATGGATCAATACCTATAAAAAAATTTTATCGCCAAGTGTCTGTATCAAAGTCAATTTGTGAAGATTTCCTGTATTCATTTCGAAAACGGGAGCAGAATAATTATCTCCGAAACATCTGAGGATAACTGAAAGTTTGATGAATATATTCACTTTTAAACAAGTTGTCACTATTGAGGATTCATCTTTCAGGTTTTTAGTAATTAGAAGAATTTTGAACGCAGCCACTTCTTGTAATAAATCATTCGATTTATCTTTGCTAATAATACCTATACACATTGATTTCCATTTGTTTGTTGAATTTGTTGTGGAATTCTCGGACTTTTGGTAGGTACGAGTTCCTAGGAATACTGCCTTTGGCAAAGAATTCCAAAGTTTTGCTGTTCTATAGATGAACAAGTTCTGGTGAAGAGGAGGGTGGACAAACACTTGATTTGTACTACACTTTTTCCAGTTGTATTTCAGAAAGCGTCGATTCAATTTCAGAAAGCGTCAAATGCATATCAGAATAGTCACTTGTGAAAGTATTATTCCCGTACAAGAAAGAAAAAACCTGATGTCGGTGCCTATTGATCAATTCACATAACAAACTCAAAGGTGAAACCCGCATATCGATATCTATCTTTATTCCAGAGTTCAAGGTGTTTTTAGAAAATGTGAATTGTTGGAAAGTGGCTTAAACTCTTTTTCTTCTGGAAAACCTCTTCCTATGAACATTTCCAAAGCATTGTGTTTGTCATGAAAATTGATCCTCAGGCACTGAAATCAGTCATCGTGTACCTAGTTGCAGAATATAACTTTTACTTCAAGAAGAACGAGTTATATTCTCGAACTAGATGAATGGAAGCCGATTTCAGTGGCTCGAGAACAGTTTTTATCCCAAACGCAATGCTTTGCAGGTATTCTCATGAGAACAGACAATTTTTGCAAAAAAATATCTGTAGCCACTTTTCAAAAATGCCCAATTTCGAAAAACACCATTTAACTCCGAAACGAAGACAGATTATGCGGATCTCACCATTGAGTTTTTCATGAAAATTGACAGTTTTCCTCTATCTGGTTCGAGAATAGGACTTTCCCTTTAAAAGTGTTCAATTTGGCCCACCCTGTACATATAACGATACCTACTTTCAGTTGGATATCTGGAACACATTTTCCTACTGATTTGAGGTTATTGAAATGACTCAGGTCTCTCTTGTAATCGAAGCATATTGCAAAACCACTCATCTCCGTACACCCGTAGGCATTGTACACATGAGCATTTTTGAATAGCCTTCTCGTCTCTTCGAATTGCCCTGGAGGCATCGTTGTACCACCAGATACATAAGAACGTACGGAGGAAGTATCATAGTCCCCCTTATTCTTCACAGCAAGGATTTGTCTTGTCACACTTGGAGCAACAAAACAGTTTGTCACCTAGAAAGACGATATTTTGAATTATTCATGAACCAGTTATGTTACACTATATTTGAATTGATGCATAGAGAGTGTTATATAGGTTCGGGTCAATGATTCAGGTGTGAGTAGTTTTTGTGGGAATATTATTATCCCTATCTTTTTTTTATGTTCTGGTTCCCACGGAAAGGAATATCCTGTAATGTTCAGGGAACATCGTGAGAACCAAGAGAAATTAGGAAGGAATTGCTGTTCTTCTGAAATTTCTGGAGGTTATATGCCTCGAGGAACACCTCCCTTGGTAATGTGTTCTAGAGCCTCGCTGTTCGTTGGATGAACGAGTCTTTGGAAAGAGATGTTTTGCAGGTCTTCAAAGTGACCACGAAGGGGTGCGAAGCCTCAACTCGACGGGTTAATCTCGCGGGGACTGCCAAGAAAGGAACAATTGTTGATATTTCGGGAGAGCATTGTCCATGAGAATATCTATTGAATGAAGCCAGATCGCCAACTTTTCTACGGTGTTCCAGAGAAGTGAGTGAGGTTGTGAGGCGGGCACCACCCACGAGACGAATTGCCCTTTTTTGGACAAAATCCAACAGTTTCAGGGTATGTTTGGGTGCTGCACTCCAAATATGGGAACTGCATTAAAGGACAGGTCGGATCTGTGCCTTATAGATCATAAGCAGTTGACTGATGGAAGTGAAATAGCTCCTGGCCCGAAACAGAAAACCAAGTTTTTGGTATGCACTTTTAGCATCGAAATGGATGTCTCCAAAGGTATGGTTACTCCTGACAAGCTTATGGTGGGCACAGTGAGATAGGCTTTTTCAGAGAAGAGGCAAGCTTGTGTTTTGTTTGCATTGAAATATACTAAGTTATTGGATTCCCATTCGGGAGTTATTGCCATAGTCCATATTCATGTTGTCAACATTTCTTCCTCGTTCGTTTCTGATTTGCCTGGCTGGTATTGGAGCCCTGGAAGAGAAGGCGGTATGGAGGGTACTATCATCCGCAAAGCTGTGTACGCCGAAAAATACATAAAGCTGGTGAAGCTGGTGATACTACAAGTAAACAACTCTGCCGACAGATGGCACTACTGGACAACCTGAGTGAAATGATCCACCAGTACTATTCATCTAACGGAATCTAATAACTAAGAGATGTTTTCCAGGGAAATCAGGGTGGAGCACTAACTCATAAACATAAAGGGTAGTTTCAGAGAATGATGATTGCTTCAGTGCATGAAAATTTTTTTGACACATAAACATCAAAACTGTTATTTTCGTCATATAAATACAGAATATGTGGCAAGATCGAACGTTCTTCATAGCAGGCTGGTTCTGAATTATTCCTACAACTGTTAGTTTCGATTTCCTCAAACCTCAGGAAGATTTCTGTCATGCATATTAGATTCCAGTTCATTATCAGTTCCTCCAGAGTTTGAAAATATCAGTTTCGGGAATCCTGCGGAGAAGATTGAATTACTCAATCGAAGAGGAAATTGTTAACTCCGTGCGCTTCAAGAAAAACAACTATGATTCTCTCAAAATTTTCTACTAAACTACTAAAGAAACCTTCAGAACTTTCAAAGATGATGATAAACGAACAAGGTTTATATCGATAGTGAGAAAGTTGATATATGATACATAATATAAGTTTTCGGCCGGCCGACCGACCACATGTTGAAGATTCAATATGAACGGACCAGCTTTGAGTCAATTAATGATACAAACCTTATGTTCTTGGATGATTCGCAGAGCATTTTCTGGGTCAAATTTCGGGACAAGAACTCTACAGCCTCCTGCAATCATTGCTCTCAGTAACGCCATCATACTTGTCACCCAATAAAATGTTGAAAATAATAATTCCACCCTGGGATCCATAGTACCAGTTTTCCTGAAGAGAAGAATATTGTATTAGAGATTCAGTAATGCTTGACCACGTCAAAAATTGATACAGGATTGATTTTTTTATCGCTTGGAGCGCACGAAAGGGAATCCCTATAATGTTCAGAGAACATCGTGCGTTCCTAGGGAGGATAGGGACAGGAGGTAGGTATTGGAATTTTTTTCGAACTTTTGGAGATTATATGTTGTTGGGAATACTTCCACAGGCAATGAATTCCAGAGCCTAGCCGTTCAATGGATGAAGGAGTCTTGATAAAGATATAGAGATTCCAGTGTCACTTATACCTATTTTTCTGAATTGACTCGGCCGTTACTTGATGGAAATCGATAGAAAATGCGAAAAACTAACGAATGAAAATGTCTCCACATAATTCGTAACAACACGAATGGGCGTGTACACCTTAGTTGAACTTTTACCTCAAACCATGTTTATAATGATCCTTCTATACATGAATAATGATTGACGATATAATTCGATCGAAAAATTAATCGGAATGTTTTATTTTTGGACATAAATAATAGTACTTTCTGAAAACGGACCCTCTTATGTCATCTCGTCATAGTTGAAAGAAAATTCCAAACGCCCGACGGAGACTGAGGCAACTGATATACTTATTAATTCTTTCAACTGTGATCTCGCGCTTATTCACTCTGTCAGAAATCATGTATCATTCATCTCTGTCTGGAATAGTCTTGTTTCAGAATTAGGGTTTTGTCGTCACTTAGGGAGCTCACAGCAAGAAACGGTTTGCGGTGGTGAGCTAGTTTGGGTAAGTTCTATCGAATTAAGAAATACACATTTTTTGTGATGAAAGCCCATTGTTTCGCAAGCACAGTTAGTTCTTCAAGTGAAATACTCGTACAATGAATTGAACTCTAATTTGTTCTCTTAGTATAGGTATAATATCATAACATTCTTCTTCAAGTTAATCTGGTGAGTACATCAAATATTAACGTAGATTATCGTACGTATTTTCAGAAAATGAAAGCTCAACCAACCTTTCCCCATCAGGTAATTTCAATCCTTCAGGTTTGGAAAGTACAACATATGAGTTAGGCACGTCGATGTAAGTTCAGTTTATTGTACGGGTATTTCACTTCTCAGGCAACCAGATGACGTTTCAGTGACATCTTTTTATGTCAGTTGAATGACCAAGGTGACGTGAATGAGTCACAGCCCGATGACGTCATATTATTCACGTTTATTGACGTCAGTCACTCAACTAATGGTGACGTCGAAATGTTCGCATTTTTTTTATCGCCTGGAGCGCACGACAGGGATCCCTATAATGTTCAAAGAACATCGTGCGTTCCTAGGGAGGATAGGGATAGGAGGTAGTAGGTATTGGAATTTTTTTTGAACTTCTGGAGATTATTATTTTGTTGTTGGGAATACTTCCTCAGGCTATGAATTCCAGAGCCTAGCCGTTCTATGGATGAAGGAGTTTTGATAAAGTGCTGTTCGACATCTTTCGAGGTTGACAACGAAAGGATGTGCTGACTGGGCTTGTCTAGTTCGTCTGACTGGTATAGCTAGTGAAGGGATGATAGCAGAGATTTCCGAAGCACATGAAACGTTGAAAATTTTCCTCAAAAATAGTGTGAACCTCTGATGACATCTAATATTGATTATGGAATTGTTGAGACCGCTTGGTGGTGTTTTCGGTATCATATCAATTCAGAAGCTATCCTTTAGTACGCATATCCATCAGAATGAAATGAGTAACTCGTATTTGTATGAAAAATTATGTAGTTTGTGTCGGTGAGATGTAAGCAAACCAAGAATAGTTTGATAGCAATGTGAAGGATGTTGGCGAATTTTGCTTCACTTTGTTGAGTAACGTATTCTCAAGCATTCTTTGTCACCTAACAAAAATGTAAATAGCAAACTTTCTACAAACTCTTCAAATGACGAAGCCAACCAAATTGGTACGTCACACCGACGCGATTTTTAGTCATCATATATACGTCACTTCATTGTCACAAAAGTGACATTTTTTATGACGTCTATGACGTCTCATTCCACTCATCCAAGTGACGTTTACTCAACGTTGTAATGATGGCGTGATCATCACGTCATAGAAAGAACGTCATAGTGACGTCAGAAATTGGTGTGTGACGTCTTCGACGAAAAATCACCAATTGAGTACGTTACAGTCACGTGACCATTCGTCATAATATGGTTGCCTGGGTTGAGGAAGCTACTGCGTCAGCTTAACATGTCGTGTTATAAGGAATTTTGTGGAAATCTTATCGTTTGTGAAGTTTTTTTCATTCGATACCTATAATATAACCCCAACATGAAACTCACCAAAAACTGATTTCTGCATTGATAATACCAAAATGTGATAACTTCATTGGTTTTGGTAACCCCGTTGTTCCACTACTGAACAAAATAGAAGCAGTTTGGTGACAATCCACACGTTGCGGCTTGAAAACCTTCTCTTCTTCAGGAAATGGCTTCACCAAATCATGAAAAGTCTTATACACCTTCGACTTCCCGAGAACGATGATTTCTGGTTCGAAGTTTCTGGTTTCCAAGCATTTTTCTAGTCTCGCAACTTGCTCTTCATCGACTACTATGATTTTCGGCTTGACTGTGCCTATACAGTGTGTCCAGTCTCTTTCGGTCTGGACTGGATCAATCGCAGAGAATCTGGCTCCCAAGAACATGGTGGATATTACCGGGATCATGGTGTCCATGCCCATTTTGAGGCATGTCAAAACTATATCATCGGGTTTGACTCCGAGATCCCTGAGACTGAGTGCGAACCTGATAGATCTCTGTTTGACGCTCGCGAATGTTTCTCGTTCTCCTGTATCGCCATGAATCTGGAAAGATGAAGTTATCAAATTGATTCGATCTTGAATAATTGCGAGTGGATGTTTAAATTATTGAATAATATTTTATTCCATTGAGACCATTTACATGATATTGGCAAAGTCAGTAGAGAAAAAAGTAAAATATGTTATAACATAAATAAATATACACAGAGATATAAAAGCACTAAAAGCTACATTCCATGAATTCATTCAGATTATAGGATCAGTATTGCAACAGAAGATCTTTGAGATATTTCTCAAATAAATTAAGCTTTTGGGTTTCTCTTGAAGAAATTGGTAATTTATTATACAACTCTATACACAGAACGAAAAAGGTACGTTATATTGATAAAAAAGTACATCAAATCAGTGAACGTCAACATTAATTTTGGGCCGATGACGGGTGTCATTAATACAATGAACGGTCGTACGTAAATTTTCTTGTTGATGAAGTTATGACTGCAGTACGTTGAATCAACGAATAATGGTCATGGATCTATGTTTGCCGGTTATTGATATTACGAATGGATTTACATTGGTTCATGGTTGTTGTACATTGAATCAATTAACAGTGAGCATGAATATGTAAGTGCCAGTTACGAAGGACAGACTCAGTTTATTACAGCTGAACATTGAATCAATAATCAGCTAGCATGGATCTATGATCGGCGGTTATTGATATTACGAACGATAGACATCACTTGATGATTTTCTTCATTGAATCAATGAAAAATAAGCATGAATCTATGTTAGCCAGTTATCAATGTAACGAACAAATTCTATTGGTATTTAACAGTGGAGTCGTCGTCGAAGATAATGCTGTCAACAGTATCGTCACTATCAGAAATAAGGGGACAATTTTTTCACAAAATCGGCCCAAAATTATCTAGTACATCCACTAATTTGATGTGACCTGATGAACAATATAATAAACATTTACAAGGCAGTCGCAAAACACTGGTTTCCTTGATGAAATATCATTTTTCTTTATTTTTTGATGAAATCTACCTAATTGTATTGAATATCAAATGTAATGAATATTTTTTAATGAAGTCAACTAAAAATGTTTCCAAAATGTCAAAAATACACTGAATGATCGAAGACTGATAAACTTGGACGATATTCAAAAAACAAATATTCGCTCACCTTATACATTTTTTGTCGGAATAAACAAATATTGCCTTCTCCATTCATTATAATATAATTATATTTAAGTACCTGATAATAAGGGAAATGTTCCACAGAAATCTCTGCTTTAATTCAATCACAAGCAATACCAGTCAGACGAACTAGACAGGCCCAGTCAGCACATTCTTTCTTTGTTAATTTTGAAATATGTTGAACTACACTCTACCAAAACTCGTTCGTCTATAGAACGGCGAAGCTTTGGAATTCTCTTCCAATGAGAGTATTTTCAAGACCTAATAACCTCCAGAAGTTGAAAAAAAATCCCAACACCTCTACCCCCTCTCCCTATACAAGGCAACGGAAATTTTGTCAAATCAGGCAAAATATTGATCTGAACCCCTGATTTACTTGATTTTCATTTCCTGTAGAAAATAAAATGATAACAATGTGATGACAATAACCAGTAGTTGTTTTGCATCCCATGAGTACCTACCCAGCAAACATTTTGATATGGGTACAACATAATCGACACATTGAGTTGCCCATAGCAAGCCCAGCACATACATAAATGATGGGACTGTAATGGCCAATTATCGACATTGGGTACATATTAACGAGGTAGGGGGAGGAGGGGGAGGGGTAGGAGGAGGGGTAGAGGGAGGGGTAGTGGTTTCAGGGGTCCAATTGATCTGGCAGTCCTAGTAACTCAATATATTTTTTAATGTTTATCATCATATTATATCAAATAGACACATACCAGATTTCAAGGCAACAATTTATGAATGACACAATGATATCTTCTTTCATGATAAAACTTCTCAGAGTGACTGCTTACCGGCTGGTATATCTACATCTTCATTTTATTTGGGAAGCATTCCTCCAAAATAGATTCTTCGTTGCGAGGTAGGTACTCCTGAAATATAAAATTCTTCATAAGTTATCATGAAGTGGCCTTTCTTGATGTCAGAATTCTTTCTTCATAGAAGTATGAGAAACAAAATACTGTTACATGAGTTTATAACTCGATCAATATAAAGTCTGATTACGTGTGATATATACTTACATATTATGGAGCTTTTCAAGTCTCTTTATTTTTTTTGGCACAGGCCTTATTGTTATTCACTTCAATGATAGAGACAGGTTTCCATAACCTAATATTACTTTTGATAGTAACGAACCAAGCAGTCCATGATAGTTACGCTTTTGGAGAGGTAGGAGCCACTACAATTATTATCATCACAAACACATGCATTTCATAACAAAATTTGGAACACTAGATAGGAAGATTGATACTTACTCAATACATATTATCATCATTGAAGAATCCATCTTCTATATTATCAATTGAGAATACTCCTGCCACCATAACTGCCATTATAACGACCAGGGAAAGTGATGAGCACAATGATATGACAACAAACCAGAGAAAAACGAAACATACGCTATCACTAGAGTGACTTATAATAATTATCCAAATGATCAGCTGATTGTTGGTGTAGACGTACCCAGAAAATCCACCAGTGGGACGAGTAGTGAACAGGATATTTGCCAGCAAGAGGCCACAACTCGTTAGTGCTCAACTCATTCTATACATCATGCCACACAAGGCCATCATCGTATTTTCAACTGATGGTTACTTAGCATAGAGAAATCATCGGCCATTACCATTACACCGGCATCGACACTTTCTCACACTTGCCTGCACTAGGCCGGAATTCTCCCGGTAGTTCAATGTTTGCTGAGTAAATATATCCTAATCGTAATTTTGAAAATTGCAGAAATAGCAAAAATCGCAAAAAATTCTGAAAATTGAGAAAATTTCTGAAAATAGCAAAAATTTCCGCAAAACTCAAGGCTACCACTCTCTCACTCTATCTCTCTGAGTAGCTAACAACATGATTGACGTAATCCCCACACATCGAGGTCGTCCATATTCCTTCAAGGCCAATCTTTTGAGAATTCTTCTCGCAAGACCATCCCGCCCAACTACAATACTTAGTTTACTAGATCTGGTAACATATCTTAGGTTAGGTTACTAGATCTGGTAACATATCATAGGTTAGGTTACTAGATCTAGTAACATATCTTAGGTTAGGTTACTAGATCTGGTAACATATCTTAGGTTAGGTTACTAGATCTGGTAACATATCTTTGGTTAGGTTACTAGATCTGGTAACATATCTTAGGTTAGGTTACTAGATCTGGTAACATATCTTAGGGTAGGTTACTAGATCTGGTAACATATCTTTGGTTAGGTTACCAGATCTAGGTAACATCTCAATCAATTTTTTTTAATTGGAATGCCCAGTATATTTTCATATTTTCTGAAGCATTTCTGCCTCAAAAATTCCTGAAAATAGCAAAGATCGCAAAAATTCCTGAAAATATCTAAAATCGCAGAAATTCCTGAAAATTGCAAAAATTCCGGAAAATTGTAAAAATTTCAAAAAAGTCCTCAGAATTGCAAAAATCGCAAAAATGCCTAAAAATTGTAAAAATTTCTGAAAATTGCAAAAATTTCTAAAAATTGCAAAAATTCCGGAAAATTGTAAAAATTCAAAAAATTTCTGAAAATTGCAAAAATCGCAAAAATGCCTGAAAATTGCAAAAATTGCAAAAATTCCTGAAAATTGCAAAAATTTATGAAAATTGAAAAAATTGCAAAAAATCCTGAAAACTGCAAAAATCGCAAAAATGCCTTAAAATTCCTAAAAATTGCAAGAATCGCAATTAACAGGTTTCTCAAATATGTTAGGTTTTGTATCCCTTTGATCTGGCACAATTTCACAAATAGGTAGGAACTCTACGAGCCACAGAAACACAAAACACGACTCAGCCCTTTCAACTTTTCATTAACAACTGAACGAATAGAAATAAAATAAAACGGCAAATGAAAAATTCACCGCGTATTATGAAATTTTTTCATAGTAATAATGTTTGGCGTGATTGATCCATGGGTAGGCAGCATTAATTTGGCGCCTGTTTTGGAAGTTGATGTTTCATTTCATGAAATCAACGTTTAGTGTTCATTGAAACAATGAGAACCATTCATTATTTTCTTATGTTTGTTGTTGATAGATCTATGACGAAATGTTTATTGCTCCAATGATGAAAAACATAGATCAATAAACATCAAACGTTGATTCAATGAATTTTTTCATCACATGAATAAAAAAAATGATTAACTTTTGATGTTTTTCGTTCATTGTTTAATGTTGGCTCGTTCATTGTATCAGTGTCTTGCGGTATGAACCCATCATCAGAAATGATTGTAAGAATCATCGATTCGTAATATTAACATATCTTTGGTTAGGTTACTAGATCTGGTAACATATCTTAGGTTGGGTTACCAGATCTGGTAACATATCTTAGGTTAGGTTACTAGATCTGGTAACATATCTTAGGTTAGGTTACTAGATCTAGTAACATATCTTAGGTTAGGTTACTAGATCTGGTAACATATCTTAGGTTGGGTTACTAGATCTAGTAACATATCTTAGGTTGGGTTACCAGATCTGGTAACATATCTTAGGTTGGGTTACTAGATCTGGTAACATATCTTAGGTTGGGTTACTAGATCTGGTAACATATCTTTGGTTAGGTTACTAGATCTGGTAACATATCTTAGGTTAGGTTACTAGATCTGGTAACATATCTTAGGTTAGGTTACTAGATCTGGTAACATATCTTTGGTTAGGTAACCAGATCTAGGTAACATCTCAATCAATTTTTTTTAATTGGAATGCCCAGTATATTTTCATATTTTCTGAAGCATTTCTGCCTCAAAAATTCCTGAAAATAGCAGAGATCGCAAAAATTCTTAAAAATAGCTAAAATCGCAGAAATTCCTGAAAATTGCAAAAATTCCGGAAAATTGTAAAAATTTCAAAAAAGTCCTCAGAATTGCAAAAATCGCAAAAATGCCTAAAAATTGTAAAAATTTCTGAAAATTGCAAAAATTTCTAAAAATTGCAAAAATTACGGAAAATTGTAAAAATTCAAAAAATTTCTGAAAATTGCAGAAATCGCAAAAATGCCTGAAAATTGCAAAAATTGCAAAAATTACTGAAAATTGCAAAAATTTATGAAAATTGAAAAAATTGCAAAAAATCCTGAAAACTGCAAAAATCGCAAAAATGCCTTAAAATTCCTAAAAATTGCAAGAAACGCAATCAACAGGTTTCTCAAATATGTTAGGTTTTGTATCCCTTCGATCTGGCACAATTTCACAAATAGGTAGGAACTCTACGAGCCACAGAAACACAAAACACGAATCAGCCCTTTCAACTTTTCATTAACAACTGAACGAATAGAAATAAAATAAAACGGCAAATGAAAAATTCACCGCGTATTATGAAATTTTTTCATAGTAATAATGTTTGGCGTGATTGATCCATGGGTAGGCAGCATTAATTTGGCGCCTGTTTTGGAAGTTGATGTTTCATTTCATGAAATCAACGTTTAGTGTTCATTGAAACAATGAAAACCATTCATTATTTTCTTATGTTTGTTGTTGATAGATCTATGACGAAAAGTTTATTGCTCCAATGATGGAAAACATAGATCAATAAACATCAAACGTTGATTCAATGAATTTTTTCATCACATGAATAAAAAAAATGATTAACTTTTGATGTTTTTCGTTCATTGTTTAATGTTGGCTCGTTCATTGTATCAGTGTCTTGCGGTATGAACCCATCATCAGAAATGATTGTAAGAATAATCGATTCGTAATATTAACATATCTTTGGTTAGGTTACTAGATCTAGTAACATATCTTAGGTTAGGTTACTAGATCTGGTAACATATCTTAGGTTGGGTTACTAGATCTAGTAACATATCTTAGGTTGGGTTACCAGATCTGGTAACATATCTTAGGTTAGGTTACTAGATCTGGTAACATATCTTAGGTTATGTTACTAGATCTAGTATCATATCTTAGGTTAGGTTACTAGATCTGGTAACATATCTTAGGTTGGGTTACTAGATCTGGTAACATATCTTAGGTTGGGTTACCAGATCTGGTAACATATCTTAGGTTAGGTTACTAGATCTGGTAACATTTCTTATGTTAGGTTACTAGATCTAGTAACATATCTTAGGTTAGGTTACTAGATCTGGTAACATATCTTAGGTTGGGTTACTAGATCTAGTAACATATCTTAGGTTGGGTTACCAGATCTGGTAACATATCTTAGGTTAGGTTACTAGATCTGGTAACATTTCTTAGGTTAGGTTACTAGATCTAGTAACATATCTTAGGTTAGGGTACTAGATCTGGTAACATATCTTAGGTTGGGTTACTAGATCTGGTAACATATCTTAGGTTGGGTTACCAGATCTGGTAACATATCTTAGGTTAGGTTACTAGATCTGGTAACATATCTTAGGTTAGGTTACTAGATCTAGTAACATATCTTAGGTTAGGTTACTAGATCTGGTAACATATCTTAGGTTGGGTTACTAGATCTAGTAACATATCTTAGGTTGGGTTACCAGATCTGGTAACATATCTTAGGTTAGGTTACTAGATCTGGTAACATATCTTAGGTTGGGTTACTAGATCTAGTAACATATCTTAGGTTAGGGTACTAGATCTGGTAACATATCTTAGGTTGGGTTACTAGATCTGGTAACATATCTTAGGTTGGGTTACCAGATCTGGTAACATATCTTTGGTTAGGTTACTAGATCTGGTAACATATCTTAGGTTGGGTTACCAGATCTAGGTAACATCTCAATCAATTTTTTTTTATTTGGAATGCCCAGTATATTTGCATATTTGCTGAAGCATTGCTGCTTCAAAAATTCCTGAAAATAGCAAAGATCGCAAAAATTCCTGAAAATTGCAAAAATCGCAAAAATTCCTGAAAATTGCAAAAATTGCAAAAATTCCGGAAAATTGTAAAAATTTCAAAAAAGTCCTCAGAATTGCAAAAATCGCAAAAATGCCTAAAAATTGTAAAAATTCCTGAAAATTGCAAAAATTTCTGAAAATTGCAAAAATTCCGGAAAATTGTAAAAACTCAAAACATTTCTGAAAATTGCAAAAATTGCAAAAATGCCTGAAAATTGCAAAAATTGCAAAAATTCCTGAAAATTGCAAAAATTTATGAAAATTGAAAAAATTGCAAAAAATCCTGAAAATTGCAAAAATCGCAAAAATGCCTTCAAATTCCTGAAAATTGCAAAAACTGCAATTAACAGGTTTCTCAAATATGTTAGGTTTTGTATCCCTTTGATCTGGCACAATTTCACAAATAGGTAGGAAGTCTACGAGCCACAGAAACACAAAACACGACTCAGCCCTTTCAACTTTTCATTAACAACTGAACGAATAGAAATAAAATAAAACGGCAAATGAAAAATTCACCGCGTATTATGAAATTTTTTCATAGTAATAATGTTTGGCGTGATTGATCCATGGGTAGGCAGCATTAATTTGGCGCCTGTTTTGGAAGTTGATGTTTCATTTCATGAAATCAACGTTTAGTGTTCATTGAAACAATGAAAACCATTCATTATTTTCTTATGTTTGTTGTTGATAGATCTATGACGAAAAGTTTATTGCTCCAATGATGGAAAACATAGATCAATAAACATCAAACGTTGATTCAATGAATTTTTTCATCACATGAATAAAAAAAATGATTAACTTTTGATGTTTTTCGTTCATTGTTCATTGTTGGCTCGTTCATTGTATCAGTGTCTTGCTGTATGAATCCATCATCAGAAATGATTGTAATAATCATCGATTCGTAATATTAATGTTCAAAAAATTGACGACCTCCGTTCATTAATTTTACGTAAAAAATTATTTTCTGTGTATGAAGATAAATTGAAAGATGATTTTTATTCATTTTTCATGTTGAAAACGTAAGCAGATATCTTCCCGAATCGTCCAAATATCAGTGAAAATTCGATATTTTTCAAAACAGAGTGCCATTGACAACTGAATGATTTTTTTTATTAGGCTCTCTGATAGGAACAGTTTCAAATGCAGTGCATTTTGGGTCAAATCATCTGATTTATACTTACTACAGGTACCTATATTGAAATGTTACTCATCATTTTATTTCATAGAAACAAGTAGAGAAAATCCAAAACAATCTGAAAAACTGTGTAAAAAAGTTGATGAAACCAGAGTTATTGTCGGAAATAGTCGGTAGGGAATACCAACCGGTTATAGTCTAAAATAGTCGACAGTCACTATATATTCATATTCATTAAATAATACCACACCGTACCACACCTAAATTATATCATACTATCGTACAATTTTGTAGTGGTACTATTAGATGAATGCATAGTGACTGGCGCCTATTTTACTGAACGTTTGGTATTTACCACCAACTATTAATTTAAGTGAAATTCACTATTTCTTTGGGACGGTTGCATGAACTTTTCAACCCAACGAGGTATTCTCTTGAGCTGAGGTATATACACCTATGGATATATAGAAAAACAAGTTCGACTGATTCAATTAATCAATTATAAATCATTTTACATCACCTGTATAACATTGTCACGAAATTTATCAGCTTGTTCAAAAAAATATACTCCCAAATTATCAGTAACTTTTTCAAAATCACTTGCACCACCTGAAAGAATCTTGCCTCTCATTGTCAGTTTGAAGAAAAACAAATCAGAACTGTGTAACAAGATCTCTTTATTTATATTTATCGTATGTCAAGGTTAGATAATTCATAATTATCATTATATAATTATTATCTCCGGAGCTTGTAAATATTGAACTAAGCTGGAACAACCAAGATGTAGATCTGATGAGTGGTGAGAAATACCTATCAGTATAACAAACATATAAATGATTACGCCAGTGGCGTACCTGAATTTCTGTATACTCGTGAAGGAAAGAAAATTATCTTATACAGGGTGTTCCATTTAAAAAACAAAATTATTTGGACTTCTATTTCCTATTTCGCGATTCGCATTTGTTTATTTTGAGAGTGCCAAAAGACAGTACAGTTGAAACCCTATAAATTTCATATCTGAAGTTTGTTTCCACCTCGTATGGATGAAGCTGTAGGTGGGGGTCAAAATATAACAAGCCAGCCGTACTATCAGAATTTGATGAGCAATATTGTTTTCAATCTACGAAATCGATCTGAGACAGATCATAGGGGAGAAACAAAGGCGTGTCTCACTCTGAAAGCCCACCCACATTGAGTGTAATATACAGGGTGAGTCAGTTTTTTGTACACGGCAAAAATTTTTGAGTGAAATTTATCACAAAACGAAATCAATGTTTTTCAAATTCAGGTCCACACCCGATTGTGTTGCCATTTCAACACCGGACCTTTCAGTTACATTCACCCAAAAATTCGCAAGAATTTAACACATTTATGAGTGAATATTTACACAATTTTGAGGGTATTTTCGTCAAAATCAGCGTTGATCTTTACACAACGTTCATTAAAAATTCACAATATATCTATAAATAATCACTAAATATTGTGCCAATACCTCACTCAATTTTAGGTAAATATTCACGAAGTTTTGATGAATCTGGTAACTCAATACTGTGTTTTGCCTCGAATGGTATACAAGGGTATGGTGTACTATACCATATGAGGTAGGTATAGCAAAGATATCAATTCATTATGAATTAGGAGGGAGATGGGACAGTGGAATGACTTCATTTATTAAAAATGTATTTTAGAAAATACACAATTTTATTCATGTATCAATATTATGAATATAAATTCATCAATAGTTGAACTCAGTTGGACTGATGTGCATAAATTATTCCCCTATAAGCAGAAGCACCAGTAGCCGCAGCAGCAGTAGCGGAGCATTATAGAGGTGATATAAAAAAAATATTGTGACCTATTTATGAAATTTTTGAAATAGTTTAATTTCCTCGGAAATGATTGAAATTCTTTGGAATTCACTGGTGTTCCTTGAAACTTGAAATCTCTTTAGCAAACACGAAGTCTAATGAGAACGATCTGCATGACCATCACTGTTCATTATCTATCGGAATTCCTAAAATTCCAGTAAATTCGCGGAATTTCCTTGTAACATGTACCTAAATCTAATGAAGCGAGGAAATGACAATTTATGTGGTAAAATTCACACATTTCTAATGATATCCGACATTAATTTGACATTATTATGACATACCAGAGTGAAAAATATACTAACTATTCATTAATCTTTTTCCTTCGTGAATTCAAACAAACATTGAGTATAATAAAGATATCGCTCTGGTCGCCATATTGAAAAGTATAGTTCGTACTTTTATGAATTTCATTATTATTTCGCTATATTCATCTTTACCTTTACATTCATACCTTCATTAGTATTCCTTCAGTGATGATCAGTAGGTTAATTGAAACTTAAAAATTAATTTGCTATGCAAGATACCTCAACAAAAGCTTTGAGAATCATCAAATATAACGCACGGAAAAAATAAGGCTCCTTTAAAACTCAGAGTAGTGGCATAATATGCAATATTTTTTAATACTCTGATCATATTATAACTTTAATTTAGATATTTTTCACCGGTGATGATATTTTACTCTATTCACAGGAATATTGGTCATCAGCTCATCTAAGTAAAAGTATATATTATTCGTACTTACTTAAAAAAAAAAAACTACACAATTCGACTCAGCTTATTGTGCACTCTTCGAATATGTAAGCGGATAATGGGAATTCGAAAATACAGAGTGTTCTTCTTGGTGCCTGGAAATATGATTATTTTCATTGATCCGGGCCTTATTTTTTATAGAGACTGACTTTCTGGCTTTCATATTTTTATTAGATTGAAAAATTGAAATATCAACTACTTAATCTTCTGTGTTTTTTCAAATCTTGCTTAGTATTTGAGGAAACAATACAAATTCGATTTGACTCCGAATTTCAATATAGGTACTCTCGAAACATTCATTGAGATTACTCAATAACCTCAATTAGAATCATTTTGAAATTTTAGGACTTTTTCAGTCTCCAACCATACTGAATTTTGGCACCATGAGAACTTATACAGGGGCCTTATAAATGAAAACAATCAATATTTCCAACTTCAACATCCTGTATATAAAAAACGAAGCAAGTTAGAACACTTAAATAAACTTCATTTTCTAAAATATCACAAGGAATCACTCTCAGATTTGTCGCAGTTCTTCACTAACACCCTGTATAGTATGTATGCGCCTGATGTCACTCCAATTCCTGCCGTGTCAAGTTTGATTGTTGGTCCCGCAATTCTTTCATGTTCAGTTCATCTCGTTGAATTACTGATTGACAAATGTTTTTTTGATAAAAAGAAGAATTCATATGATAAAAAAACCTCTTCCGTTTTTACAGTTGAAAAAAATTTACATCCTCAGGTAATATGGCTCGTATAATATACATCACCACATAAACCATTCACAACTGTTTACTTTGTATCATGTTCCAACAAAAGACCCGAACACAAAAAGCCAAAAATTGTTTGTCACTGCAAATCCTATGTACGGTATCTCCTTTCATCTCTTCTGTCCCGGCCATCCCATAGTTGACTGTTGTTTTGTTTAAATTAAATTGGCTTTTCATTTAACGCTTCGTAGCGCTATTTGATGAGAATTTTCTCTGGCATAATGGCTAAACACTATCAACTTCCAACTTCAAAATTAAACAACTCCCGAGCTAGTTTAATCAACAAAACTGCCATGGGACCCTGATGAGAACAAGCTATGACACAGCGAACATGGTGCGTGGAAAATATAAGTGATTGATTGAACGTTCAGATCATGATCATTCATGGGTTTGTTCGGGAAAAAGGCCAGAAAATGAGAACAATATCGAATAATTATACAGGGTGTTCCAAAATTCAGTGGCAAGAGTTCAACGGCTCATTTTTTGGCTTATTATGACTTATTTTTCAATGAAGAAGTGTCCGCAAGAGCTTAGTTACCGATCAAGACAGCGTTGAACTCGCAGAATCTATTTTTCATAGCTTTCTATCAGTTTTCCAGATATACTTATCAAATTTGAAAAATGACTTGAGTTTTAGGGTTTACACCAAACCTGAATCTATGATTAAACAGTATGCCGAATGATTGTAGGAATCTACAGGAAGATATTTTTCATCTGGTTAAGCCCTATTTTGCTAAATATGAAATTATCTGTTGAGAAACTTTCTATACCGGGTCTCCCAAGTTGTCGTTTACAGACAATTTTTCGCTCATTAGACGAAATAATTGAAAAATTCAAAAACTGCATTGATTGGCATTGTACCTCCTTCATGACATATAAAATAATCTATTACATTTGACAGTTCTTTGGCAGCTATCCCCCACTTTTTATTTTCAAATGGCACCCCCTGTATATTGTCATTGAAAATTGCATGCCATCCTATAAGGAATACAAGGATAGCATATACTTGGTATTTATTTTATATAACAATAACAGCAACATTCAATTAATTATGAGCTGAAATGAAAATGAAGTATCTTGTATATACAACAATCAAAATTACGGATTATAGATATTTATGGTGGTACGAAATGATGAAATTTCGCAATTCTTGTTTCCTCATTTTATGGTGATACCGGGTGTTCCAAGTTATCGCAAACAGGCAATATCTCGCTCATTTGATGAGCTACTAATAAATAGAAAAAAACTGTATCGAATGGCATCAAAGTACCTAACTGATGACCTAAGAAAAAAGTATCAGATTTGACACCCCTCCTGTATATTATCATGAAAAATTGCCTGTCATTCACTTCTAGAAAACAACGATAGCGTATTTTGTTCATTAATAAAATAACAAATACATTAACATTTTGCGACCTTATTTACGTTACATCAATTAAACTTGCCTCCGCTCATGTTTGCGAAACTTTCACAGAATAGGAATAGATTAGTAATAGGTACCGTCTGCAAATATTTGATGTTCTACAATCAATAAACAGAATACCTATCTGTCATTATTTTCTCCACAAATGAAGCAACGGTTGTTAGAAACAAAATATCAATCCATATACTTCTAATCTGTGGAGTTTTTGGAAACATGGGTGGAGGCAATTTTTCATTCAAGTATTCAGAAGTGACAGGCTATAGTCATCTTTGGCACCTCGCAGGAGGATATCGCATCGTGATCCTGAAGATAAATATAAAAAGATATTCATTCTCTATTGTTCAATTGGGCTAACTATGAAATCGGGTTTTTGAGTTTTTTTGTATTGGTCCGCCATATTGAATTTTATTCCCATTAGCACCTAATCTTGAATGGGTATTGGCCACATATTGGCCCAAAATTTTCGATATTGGGCCAATATGGAGCCAATATCCTGCCAAGATTCGTGCTACTGGGGATAATTTCGACAAAATAATCATAATCTCCAACCCCGAAAACTCCTAGATACAAATTTAAGGAAAAATGCTCTTCTACATTCAATATCCCAATAAAAAAATTGTGATAGGGCACACTTCTCGCACCCAATCTCCACGACACTGATAAAATGCGAATTCATTCCTATTGTCATTAGAATAAGAAATAGGCTTCCATGATGTAATAATTGTCGACCTTCGTCGACATTAATATCATTGCTCACCAATAGCCTCAATAAAACAGTGTGTCCACAAAATAATTCTTTGTGCGTAAAGTTATAGTGCTTTGGTGAAGTACTGAATATATTTATTTAAGCCAAACAATCCATTTTTGAGGAACTTCTTGGATTAGATCCAGTGGCGTACCTTGTACAATAATTTTGAGCATTACAGAATATAATCTGAGCTGCTGGGCTTGACAAAAATTTCTCCAATCATTCAAATATTACTATTTCTCTATGAATTGACAGCATGGTTATCCACAAGCCTCACATGGGCGGTAGTATTCTTTGAATAGGTTTTGATGCGTTTCAAAGGACATTTTTGGTGTCCCAGTGGACACTGATGGCAATGTTTTTTCAATCCTGAAACGCATGAAATGAGTTATTTTCAATTTCTTGGTGAACAATTTCCGCACCTGGATTCATAGTGTAATTTCACTCTTTGGGTTTGAAATCTATTATATAATTAGCTCCTGATAAACGATATAAATGAAGAATTTGGACCAATTAACGAAGAAGAAGATGTCACTTTCTCAATTGTCTGAAATAACCTCACTTCAGGACGCTTACGTAGAAATGTCGTCACAGAACAGATTGTATTTCCTGGAACATGTTCATTATGTTGCAGTCTGAAAATCCAGTATAGGTACTCTCCGAGTTGGCATTATTTTGCGTGGGAACATCATCATTGTATAATGAGAAGCATCAGGGCCTATGTAGTATCCATCCAGAATATGAAATTCATTACCGTGGAGATATTCATTTCAATGCGTTCTAATTGCGAATAGAAATTACATTTCTATGACATTCTGTCCATTCGACCGCATTCAGTTCATCCAAATGGACAATAATTTGATGGTAACTGCGATGGTGGAACAGAATGACCGGGAGAGATGAATGCCATGCATTTGATATGTGCGAATGCCGCGATTCACTGAAAAATGACGCCGGATGAAATCAATCTTCTTTCATTCGAGTTGTTACAATGGAAAGGATTTGAATGTGTTAGGAGAAGGTTTCCCATGAGTATGAAGCTTCTCTCTTCAGTGTTGCCAGAGTCAGTAGATTTACACGTTTCGTGAGGCTAGATGGCCTTGGTAATATCTATACTCATACTATACCTAATGCCTTTATCGCTATGGAAAATGAAAATATCCCAATAATAATTTCTATAGAGATATATTGGGGAAGATGTTTGAAATCAACCTTTTCAATTAGAATCGAGATAGTGAATGATTTTCATAGTCCTAAAATATGTAACTATATCGAGTGAAGTAAAAGATTGCATAGGTGGTAGAACACAAGTTGTTGAAACTGCTTTGAGACATCACCCTACAAGTATTGGTTACGCCTGGAGTACCGAAGGGCTCGGTCCTTGGATCCTTTATTCGAACGCTGCATTCCTTGTTTTCTTGTTGAATTGTCGAAAATATTGCAAGGCTTATCTCCATTTCGATCAATTTTTCAATAGACGTAGCTTCTACAAATGTGTATTGAAGAAGTCACTTTTTAGGCATGTCAAGAGATAAATGAGGAACTGAATCAACTTCTCAAGTTCAAACTTGTGGAGACGATTCTTTTTGATCATCCCTCTCCACTTCGAGTATGGTGTACTTCAGAAGATAATTTGGTTTGTCCAGATATAATTATGTTCATCACCGACTACTGTCGAACGTCATGGTATTTGGTCACAAAATCTCACAAATCAATGAAGTGAATAATACACTTACTATGATCATTATTTCAATCTACTCACTGAAATGAAAGTATAGGCATTTGCTCCATTATCTGAGGAAACGAAGTTGTGAATAAACTTCTACAGGAGGGAAAAAAAACCTCTTGTGCGAGGTTAGGTTAGGTTAGGTTCAATGTGAGTGGGGCGAATACCGCCCCTCCACTGCGACTCCAGATGGGTCTATTTTGGCTCACCCCTAGAGGTTACAGTTCACTGTACAATCCACATCTCCTCACAAATACCATAGTTGAATCAGGTGAGATTTTTCTGAAATCGATACCTAGGATCTGAGTTGGTGAAGCCAAATATGTCAACTCGCAGTGATCCCAAAGCATGGTTCTGGTCCCAAGAACACAGATTTGGTTCCCTGTTTGGCGAGGATGTCGGCTTTTTCGTTGCCCTCCACCCCCTGGTGTCCTGGCACCCACAGCAAAGTAAGTCTGTTGTTTGTACCCAGGTATTCTAGGGATTCAATACAGCTCCATACAAGCTTGTAATTTATCTTGCTGGAGCTCGGTTCTTCAAGAGCAGCCTGGCTGTCTGACACAATACTGATGTTTTTGTTTACTAGAGGCCTATTCGTCAACAAGACCTCCACCTGAAAGATTGAAGCATACTTACCGACAGAGATTTCCGTCTTCGGTTTTCTGCTGAACACACCGGCTCCAACTCCAAGAGAAGTTTTCGAACCATCTTTGTACATTACGTGTTCGGTCTCTGGGAATTGGACTGATCCACTTACCCACTCGTCTCTCTTCGGAAAGAGGACTTCGAAATACTTCTTCACGTGTGTCTGAGTAGCCAACATGTTGGGAACCATTCCTAGAGTTTGGTGATTTTCCATACAGTCTCTCGCACAAGGTATCATAAATTGGTTTTCGGCATGCAACTTTGCGTTGATATACCGCTAAGATCCGTACAATCCAAAAGGTCAGTATCAGTTGTATTATAGAACGAATAACTTATCTTTCCGAACTTCAATTATCTCATACATTTTCCAATATTCTTAATGAAATCAACCTTAACATATTGCGTTGTATATATCGAGGAATATACCGCCTGACGCAAAATTCTGAGAATGAATACTTTCAGGTGTTGAGTGTTCGCAATACTATAGATAGTAAACCTGTTAGAAATCAACGCGATACAATTGCTTACTAACATCACAAGTCCGCAGGACTTTCAACGTTGAGTGGAAGAGTGCTGATACCTGTAGTGCCTATAGTTAGTGTCCACTATGCCATTTGTCAACATTCAAATATTTTTGAGTGACATTGAATTACATGAACTAGATGATAATGAAAGCATCATTATGATAAGTATCTAATTTATTATTTCCTATTCTCAGACATCATATCGTAAATTGGGAGGAAACAACTGTATCGATATGAGTAAGAGCATCAAGCACAATTCGAAAATATTTCATAAAGGTATTTCCTCTGAAGTTTCGAAGAAGGTGTTTTGGGTAATTTCGGGACAAACTTAATACCGCCCACTAGCCTATGTAGCTTCGTCATTCGCTTGATGAAGAACTCTTCAATTTCTGAGGCGGTGGCAGAGACTCCTTCCTTCAAGACTATGCAGGCTGCTGGAAGATAGCCATCGGTGATATGAGGTATCCCTAGAACTGCAGCTTCTTCAACTGCAGGATATTCTTCTAATACTGATTCCCAGTGGTCAGGAGCGACCTGGAACAGTACGGATCATAGGTGGGTTCATCAGGACAAGAAAATATTTCTCAACTACCAGAAGAGTAGAAAATATAGTAGCAGTCACTATTGAAATGAAATATCCTTAAAAAATATCGTCACATATTACAATATAATCCTAGCGATCCCAATAAATAGCCGTCAACAATGAAGTAGTATATCTTTGACATCAAAAAAAGCATTTTTGATAACATTGTGCTGTATTATAGACCAAAAAATTGCCTGGTACTTGTTATACTGCGCGATAATTAATTCACTGTCTTTACTCATTAATTTTGCCTTCTCAACAAATAAATTGTGGTTTCACAAAAATTGTTCGATGCAAAGATTTATGTAAATTTCAAGTTGATAGACAACTATGAGATGATATTTAAAAACAAACTAATCACAAATAATAAATGTTTGGCGAAGTAGGAATTTTCGAGATGCTCATGATAAGCAGTTCATGGCCTGAAAGGCTCATTTGTTGATATACATTTATACAAACAGCAATGCTTGTTTTGATGTCCCCCATCACCTCTTGGAGTTCATCGGTATCTTTTCAAGACACCCTCTATCTATACAACACATTTCTATTAGACTGGTCATAACTTCTATAATAGTAGGTGTATCAAAATAATATAAGGTATTGATAAATGGTGTGTGAAAAGGAGAGTTTTGGCATATTTTCAACATCCTGGCCACTTCCAGTTCCGAATTTTTGAATGAATAACCTTGTATTTTTCTTTATCATTTTCCCATAGTCACTCTCAATATTGAATCTAGATGGCCATGATCTAACGAAATCTAATCCAAGAACCTCAAGTGATGTCAGAGGAATAGAATCGCGTACCTAGTTTTGGTAATGGATATGATAGGAATAAGACTAGTTGGCAGAATTGAATTCACGTAACTAGTTAGATATGGTGTCATTTTGTGTGACGATGGGATTTTTCGGAACGGGCCAAGCAAGTTATTATTATTGCAAGAGAATTAGTCTGTGTCGATGTAGTCAAGATGCAGTATATTCCTTTCACTTCCTGAAATTATCTCACATAGACTAACGTTTGATCGTACCTTCACGGCACCATACTTGAAAGATTCAGAACATCTTCCCACGATGTAAATGCACTCATCTTCATCATAATATCCTCGGTCTCCCGGTTTTATGAAACCGTCTTGGTCGATTTTGGAGGAATCATCATCATTGAGGTACCCAATCATGGCGTAAGGACATTTCATGCAGATCTCACCTTGTTCATTGGGACCCAAAATTTCTCCCGTTTGTTCGTCAATAATCTGAAATCAAAAAGGTGAGATGATATCAGATGTTATGGTTGAAAATGAAATGATGTTTTCAATGTTCCTGGAATTTCAGTTATAAATCTTAGTTATACTAACAAATAGAATCAACTTTTATTGTGACAATATATAGTGCGTCATATATGTAACACAACCTATCGGATCCATCCAAGGTGGTTCACCCCTGTAACTTTTTCATTAGGAGTTGTGTTTAATTGAATTTTTTTTACATATCTACTTGCTTTGCCGTACTTCCGGTTTGACCAGAAATTGCCTCAACTCTCGATTTTTATTTGACACCCTGTATTTCATTGCATATTCGTCTAGGGATTATTATTACGAATCCAATGATACCAGATTTGATATTGTTATTTCTATCGATCACGGAGATATTCGCATTTGCATTCGATGTTTCCATAGGCTCAATGAGTGTGACAGAGAAAGAAGTTTCGATATTGCGCCGTCACTCCCATTGCGCATATAGAAACTTTTAATGCATATATCTCCGTTCGGAATAACCCTATGAAATTCGATATCATTTATGTAGTTATGGTAATCCATATCTGATTATGGAATGAAATACAGTGTGTTCCATTAGAAAATAGAAATTTGGGATCTTTGACGGTCACACCGGAAGTACAGGGCGGGCAAAATTGGGCGTTTTCACCGTCTATCTCAATAACTAGAGGAGTTATCGAAAAACCGACATACATGTTCCGGGTTCGATTTTGGAGAAACCTCGAATGGCACAATCAAAATTTCGATAACTTCATTCGTTTTAGAGATACAGGGGGAAATTGAAAATTTGCCGATTTCGATTTTATTTTCTGACTACTTTACGGCGAGAGGTATCAAAGAATTTCGAACGTATATTTATACAGTATGATGCGTGGAATCCATTGGCATCATCAGAAATGTCATACAGGGTGAAGTTGAAAAGATACGGCAGCCAATTATGTTTCTTCTAATGGAACACCCTGTATATTTTGCACAGTTGAATAGTCCCAGGCGTTCTCATTACAAATATATATATAACCCTACCTTTTCCTTCCACAATTTCAGATATATTCGCAAAAATATATTCAGTGTGTCACATTTCTTATAGTTACACCCCCGTATCTTCTGTAAGAATAATTGATGGAAACATTAACAATCATAATATTTTGTGGCAGAATGCCTGAATATATGATACTTCACCCATTATTTCTAGTATGCCTTAATATTTTTGCGTTCAAAGAGATAATAAATAAGATATATATATTTGAAATTGAAACGGGAACTTTCCAGCTCGGCCAAAATATACGGGGTGTTCCATAAAAAAAAATTTTCTGTATCTGGAATTTGGACATCTTCTATAAGGCTATATTTTTCAACGCAACCTACCTCGCAACCTACTGATTTCCTAATTGAGTAAATTATTGGTCTTATTTCTGTATCTCAAATGTCTTGATAACAATGATATCAAATCGAATAATTTCCCATTTTATTTCTCACCAAATATCCATTTATCCATTTTCAACCTCGATTCTGCCTGTTGATAGCATTATCCAGAAATATCGATGATTCCATAGCTGCAGGCGAGCAGTGTTATCATTGGAGATGATCCCACTTGGTCCATGACTCCATGAGTGTATCATTTGTATCTTTCTGACAGTTGCGAATTTTTGAATCCTACCTCAATTATTTTTACAGAAGATACGGGGGTGTAACCATAAGAAATGTGACACACTGAATATATTTTTGCGATTTTATCTGAAATTGTGGAAGGAAAAGGTAGGGTTATATATATATTTGTAATGAGAACGCCTGGGACTATTCAACTGTGCAAAATATACAGGGTGTTCCATTAGAAGAAACATAATTGGCTGCCGTATCTTTTCAACTTCACCCTGTATGACATTTCTGATGATGCCAATGGATTCCACGCATCATACTGTATAAATATACGTTCGAAATTCTTTGATACCTCTCGCCGTAAAGTAGTCAGAAAATAAAATCGAAATCGGCAAATTTTCAATTTCCCCCTGTATCTCTAAAACGAATGAAGTTATCGAAATTTTGATTGTGCCATTCGAGGTTTCTCCAAAATCGAACCCGGAACATGTATATCGGTTTTTCGATAACTCCTCTAGTTATTGAGATAGACGGTGAAAACGCCCAATTTTGCCCACCCTGTACACCAAAGCAAGTAGATATGTCGGAGAATGTCAATAAAAATATTACCCACAACTACAAAATGCTGTTTTACTACTTTCAATAATGAAAAAGTTATATAATATGAGTGAGTCACCTTGAAAAATTTCCCGGTATATCTTATATCACGGTTCTCCTAGTACTAACCGTTCCTTACAAGAGGGGACATCCATTAACTATACAGTCTGTCCAAGATGAGGTTGAACAGCATGGAGATCTCGAAAACGATAGGAGATACGAAGTCGGTTAAATGTTAAAATATTTTTTCACGGCAACTTTTGATGACGTTTAACGTGGTGAAACCGATTTTGGTGATTGTGGATGAAAACACTTACTTTCAACTGCACATCTGTAGCACATTTTCCTACTGATTTAAAGTTATTCGAATGCCTCGGCTCTTTCTTGTAATTGAAGCTTGTGAAACCACCGATCTCCGAAGATCCGTACACGTTGTACACATCAGCGTTTTTGAACAGCCTTCTGGTGTTTTCGAACTGCTCTGTAGGTATCGTCGTACCACCTGATAGATAACAACGGAGAGACGAAGTATCGTAATCCTCCTTATTTTTCACTGCGAGAATTTGTCTGGACAATCTTGGAGGAATAAAACAGGTTGTCACCTAGAATGATGCTAGTCTAGATTATCCTCCATCGGAAGATGTTTAACAATCTATTCGAATTGATCTATAAAGAGTGCTCCAGTGGTTCAGGTTGATTAATCAGAGGCGGGTAATTTATGCGGGAATATCATTATTATAGTTCATAAAAACTGGTCAGCATATGAAACATTATATGAAAATTTTTTCCACTCTCGATTTCCAACTTCCTTTCAGTTTCTGAATGCTTGTTTCGTTGGTTATCGGAACTGTTATCATGATTTGTTGCAGTTCCCTTCGGGATATACAATCTCTTCAATTTTTGTTGATGTTATATTATGTATAATGCTCTTGGAATGATAACTATATTTCCAAAATTTGTCATACTCCTTGCTGAAATATGATTCTTCAAATGAATACATGCATGATTTGTTGCTACCGTGGACTCAACTAATTTTCAGGCTCATACAAGTAGTATTCAACAGAATTTAACATGATCACAAGAAGATGGAGTCTACCGATTCAGAATTAATCTACAAAGCCTTATTGTGCGATTTGTGCGAATCTAAAATGATAGAGATTTTTGGTTGCTTCACTTCAAATGTGGGACAGTTTAGTAACATGTAATTCCAATAATTTTTTTTTACTTTCAAAATTGTTTTGAGCTGTGGTGCTATTAGCTGTATCCACTATATATTTGGTTCACGTTAAGATGGAAAATGAATGTTTATTTCTTCATTGGTTGTATGTACGTGTGTATTCACAAGCATAACATTTGTAACAGTCGTCAATTTCGTCTTCTAGTCGAGATATATTCAATATTTAATTAGACTTTTTTTGACTGCTCAAGTCAGAATATTTATTATTTTTTCTTATGTCAACATCAAAATCATAATACAAAGTAACCACGATATATAAAACAATCATCATATACAGAATGTATTCTACATTTCTCCCCCTTTGTTTAAACAATCATTATTCATTTTCACCATCGTCGCTTTCAATTTGTCGTATATGTGGTAATCTGCAGATTTTGGTAACTGGTCTCCGATATGATCTATCTTTCGTCCTCACATCTACCACTCTTACTTTTCCATCGTTTCCCATATATACTTTCTCGATAATACCTAGGGGCCATGTATTTCTAGGTAGCGTATCATCTACGACCAACACTACATCATCGACGCAACAATTTTCTGATGACTGTGAATGATGCCATCTGCTAACCTTGTTCAGAGTCGGTAGGTATTCCTTGACCCATCTTCGCCAGAACATATCAGCCAACGCTTGAGATACCCTCCATTGTTTTCTCAAATTGATATCGTGCTTATCAAATTTCCCTGGTAGTGGGGAAGTTCCACTAGAAGAACTCAGCAAAAAATGATTCGGCGTGAGACTTTCGATGTCCAAACTTTCCGTTGAAACATATGTCAGAGGTCTACTATTCACTATGTTTTCAGCCTCCACAATGAAAGTTTGCAGTACTTCTTCTTTAGGACTTCTTTCTTTCAGTGATACCTTCAACACATTCTTAACACATTTGATAAGTCTCTCCCAGCTACCTCCCATATGTGGTGATGCTGGTGGAATGAATTTCCAATCAATTTTCCTTGTGGTCATATATTCGGAGACTTTATCATTTTCCAGTTCCTCCATGGCCTTTTTCAGTTCTGTATTCGCTGAGTGAAGGTTGGTTCCATTATCAGAATACATCTCTTCTGGACATCCTCTTCTCCCGATGAATCTTCGGATGGCCATTATGGCTGCATCAGTATTCAGAGACTGGGCGATTTCTAAGTGGATTGCTCGAACACTCAAGCAGGTAAAGAGAACTATGTACCTTTTTTCATGTCTTCTTCCGATTGTGACGGTTAAAGGTCCAAAATAGTCCATTCCGGTAAAAGTGAAAGGGCGAACAAAACTCTTCAAACGACAATACGGCAGTTGACCCATTTCTGGTAATTCGGGCTTCGCTCGTTCTTTTTTGCAGTAAAAACAGTCATTTTTACATTTCTTCACTGCACTTCTAAGTCGGAGAATCCAATAACGTTGTCGCAACTCATTGATGACTATTTCATGACCCTGGTGATGAAACCTCGCATGATAGTCTTCTATGAGCAATCTTGTAAATCGGTGTTTCGGATCCAATATTACTGGGAATTTTTGAAAGTAACATAAATCGTCTGATTTTGCCAAACGACCCTTGATTCGTAGGACCCCTTCATCATCAAGAATTGGATTCAATGTATAGAGTCTACTAGTTTTTGGAACCGAAATCTTTTTTTTCAATCTTGCTATTTCTTCTGGAAATGACACTCCTTGAACATGCTTCATCCAGCATTCTTCGGCAGCCACAATTTCGTCAGTTTCTAGAACAATGCTCGTCCTCTTCTCGTGTCTACAATTACCAATGAATCTCCTCATCCATGCAGTTGATCTTATCAATTTCATGTATTTTGAGAATCTACATACGTCTGGCAAATAATCTGCGGAATGCGGTTGTATCAGTAGTATACTTTCTTTCTTGACTTCCAACTCATTTATACTATCTTCTTCGTTCATGTTGTCTACTGATTCTTTCGGCCAGAATTCTTCTGAAAGTTCTAAATAGGTTGGTCCTAGTAGCCATCTACTCTTATCATTTGAGATCTCCCTCATGCTCTCATCAGCCACATTCATTTCTCCAGGAACCCAACGCCAACTTGAAATTTCGGTTAGTTCGGTTATCTCTCGGACCCTGTGGGCTACAAAGGTTTTATATCTCTTATTTTGTGATCGAATATAACGTAGTACTGTCTTCGAGTCTGTCCATTGGAATGATGCAGTGATCTTTACTTCTAAGTACTTTCGAATAGCGTTTATCAACCTACTCAACATAAGAGCAGCTTGAAGTTCGAGTCTTGGAATAGTCACAGGTTTCAATGGCGCTACCCTTGTTTTAGCACTAACAAAGGCAACTGTGAAACCATTACCTTGTCCAATGCGGAGATAAACTACTGCAGAAAAGGCTTTCTCACTGCTATCGCAAAATCCGTGAAGTTCTACAATGTTACTCACAGAAATGTTGGGTCCATAACATCTTGGAATGGTAATATCTTCAATTTTCTTCAATTCACAAACAAGTTGAATCCACGTAGTGTTCATTTCTTGGGTTATGGTATCGTCCCATCCTATACCAATTCGCCATATTTGTTGCAGAAAAATTTTGAATTTGACTACCAGAGGTGCGAGAAATCCAAGCGGATCGAATACAGACATGGTTAATTTCAGAGCCTCCCTTTTTGTCGGAATTTTCGTACATTTTATTATTTCAGGATTCACTTTGTAACAGTTCATAGAGAAAGTAAAGTTGTCGCTTCCTGGATTCCACCATAGCCCTAGTATTCGCTCCAAAGATTTTTTACAAAATGAGTCAAGGTTCTTGTGACTTTTTGCTCGTAAATTTTCTGGAATAGTTGACATAACTCTTTCTGAATTAGAAATCCAATTGCAAATTTGAAAACCACCATTTTTGTGCACCTCGATAACTTCAGAAATCAGTTGAATGGCTTGATCTTCTGTATCCGTTGAGTCAAGGTAGTCGTCGACATAATGTTTCTCAATGATGGCCTTGACTGCTTCAGGATATTCCTTTGCGTGATCTTCCGCATTTTTATTTTTCACGTACTGTGCCATACAAGGTGAGGAGGTTGCTCCAAAAATCATGGCCTTCATCTGATATACATCTGGTTTCTTCTGTCTGTCCATACCTCTCCAGAAGAATCGTTGAGCTGAACAATCTTCATCGAGGATCAATACCTGGTGGAACATTTCCTTAATGTCGCCACAGAAGGCTACTTTCTTTTGTCTGAACTTCCATAAAATGGCTAGTAGACTCCTGAGCATGTCTTCACCTTGTAAGAGGTTGTCGTTCAAGCTAACTCCTCCAGATTTTGCTGCTGCGTCGAATACTAATCGCAATTTGTCTGGCTTATTGGGATTAATAACGCCAAAATGAGGTAAATACCACGTCTTTGGAGATTCTTGAGCTGCTTCTTCAGGACTAAGCTTCTTCACGTAGCCCTTCTTCAGGTATTCCTCAATCTTTTCACAGTATCTAGCAGCGAAGTTTTCATTTTTGTCCATCTTGCGTTCCATGCATTTGAGTCTATTGAAAGCAACACTCTTACTATCGGGTAATTTAGTATCTTCGTTCTTCCATAACAATCCGATTTCAAAACGATTTCCTACCCTCTTGATGGTATTGTCCAATATTTTCATTGCTTTCTCGTCTTCTTTTGATTTTCCATTTTCCTCAAGAAGGTTGGTACCAAAATTATCAATTTTAAAGGAATCTTTCACGAGATTATGTAATTCTAAATCAGTGTCTTGTCTATTATTACAACATAGGTGAAAAATCAGGGATTTGTCTACCAAACTCTTTGAATGGTGATTGGTTCCATGAACAACCCATCCCAAAAGTGTTCTCGATACGAATGGAGAATTCCAAGAAGAACCATGGTAGAATTTCCTGGGGACATTGGTCTTGACCAATAAGTATCATTGGCTGTGCGTCTTTGTATGATGTAACTGGTGTCATTTTTATATATGGATATGTTTCTGCCAATTTCTCAACATCTACTGATTGTTTTGGCAAAGACAGGCCACTTATGGTTCTAGCTCCAACGATTTTAAATGTTTTGGAAAATTCGTCCATACCAGATATTTCAACAGTTACTCTTCTTGAAGAGTCATCGTTTCGGCTAACTTCATTTAACCATTGATAACACAGTGGCTCGATAGGTCCATCAAGTCCAATTTCATCGGCGATTCTCGATTCGATCAACGTTGTCGTGGCTGCTTCGTCAAACAGAGCATACGTATTGATTTCTCCTCGAGGACCTCTGAGACTCACAGGAATTATTCGAAGTAAAATGTCAATTTCACCTTCCCTGCTAGTATGGTGTATGGCTTCTGCATGAGTATAGTTCGACGTCGATGCCTCTCCTCCATGATCATTATTTGTTCTAGCAACTTCTTCGTTATGCAAACTCGTGTGGTGGAATTTTTCACATAGCTGACACTTTTTCTTCTTTCTGCAGCTGAAAATATTATGGGCAGGTCTCAGACAAGAGAAACAAAGTTTTTCTGAAGTTATTGTTTTCCATTTGTCGTTGACTTCTTTTTTCTTGAAAATGACACAGTCTTCAATCTGGTGGTCTTCTTGTTTGCAACAAGAGCACTTTGATTTTCTTTCATAATATGTTTTCTTAGTAGAGAATATGTTCTCCCTCTTCCGTTTTTGCTCGAACTTATCGCTTTCATGAAATCTTTTGTCACTGAATCCCATTTCTATACAAGTAGATGCTGCCAATGCAATATCTCTCAGCCAAGTTGAGAAATCTTTCAGACTGACATTTGTCTTTGTCATTGATATTTTCGCCCATTCAATTCGTAAAAAAGGAGGAATTTTCACAACAACTTCGTTCAGGAGTTGTGGGTTATTCATGTGTCCTGTACTTTCAAAGATTTCCATTGTCGTTACTAAACTTTCAACGATATTTGAAAACTGCAAGTATGTTTCAAATTTGCCCTCTTTCAGAGGAGCAGCTTTCCTGACTTTTTCTATCAGTGAGGAAATGATGAATTCTGGACGTCCGAAAGTAAATTTCAAAGTTTCTATTATTTTCAGTGCATCTGATGATGCAATCAAGAGGGGTTGAACTGTCTCTTTAGCTCTGCCCTTCAGACATCTTTGTAATCGTACAATATTTTCTTCATCACATATCTTATAGATATCTGTCGATCTTTTATACTGACTGTAAAATATAGGCCATTCTTCTGGATTGCCATCAAAAATTGGCAAATTCGTAGACATTTTGAATCCGGATGCTCCTGGAACTCCTGGATTGACATGATTTTTTATGATTCCACAAATTTGATCCAAATGGTCAGTATTCATCTGGAATACTGTTGGAGAATTCTTGCTACTTCTAGTTTGTGATATGTCTTTGTTCTTATTGGTCATAATTTCATAGGTTTGTTCTCGTTCTGTTGCCTGATAGTCATCAGGAAGGTCTGGAATTTGGCTGACCCAATCAGCAACAGATTTCATCACACCCATCGTTTGGTTATCATTATTTTTATCGATACCTGATATTTCATTTCTTTGTCTTGAAAACAAACTGAGACTACTGCTCTTCTGTGATCTATTTTCTTCCATGTCTAATAACTCAGCTTCTCGTACTTGCTTCTCCATGTCTATCAATTTCAACTTTTCTCTTATTGCTTCATCTAACAAAATTTGTCTTGCCTTTTCCGCTTCAAAAGCAATCCTCTTCCGTTGATAATCGATGCTTGATTTTGACATTCTCGAATTCTTCGATCGTATCGAATGACGAGATGATGCATTCGATATTTTTGTTTCTTCACCACCATTGATTGCAGTATTTCTGGTGCTTTTATCATTATTTCTGAGATCTGATTCCTCAGATTGTCTACGTTGTACATCTGCTGTCGTGATTTGTTCTAAATCTTCTCTTGAATCTGTTTGATTTTCTTGTACATTCATGTTCCTTGACTGACCAAAGTTCCTAGGCCACTCGTAGTTATCGTCTAAATGACTATGTCTACCTGCAGCAAGTCTTCTGCTCATATTTATAGTCAAAATTTCTACTGCGGAGTCTTCCACAGGGCTGGATACTTTATATAATCGAAGGACCAATGTAACAGTCGTCAATTTCGTCTTCTAGTCGAGATATATTCAATATTTAATTAGACTTTTTTTGACTGCTCAAGTCAGAATATTTATTATTTTTTCTTATGTCAACATCAAAATCATAATACAAAGTAACCACGATATATAAAACAATCATCATATACAGAATGTATTCTACAACATTGAAACTATTGGCAATTTTCCATTATTCACCTAGATCAAATTACTTCATCACTATTAACCGATGATGAGAGAGTGTTTCTTCCCATCAGAGAAAATCCTCGAATAATAATGATTTTCCAGATTGATAGTGGTGAAACAGTATAACCAACCATCAAATATACACTGTTTTACAACTAACCACACCTATTTTTGAAACGCCTCGACAAGTAGGTATTTCGATAAATACGTTAGCATCTTCAGAAGATGAATGACACTATATGATGTCCCAGAACTTTCTCATCATTATTATTATCAACATCGGTTAGGTTGGTGAGTCTGATTATCGTGCCAACTGTTCCAGTCTTCGAAATACTATTACTACCAACGATACATTTTACTCTGCCTATGTATACACGGTGACGTTGTCCAAGGTAACGAATTTAGAGCCAACAATAAGCATTAGGGCGGCATCAAATCCCTGTATATAGTGGTAGTGAGTGGTATAGTATTGAATTTTCCTCAATTAATCATACGAACTTTATAATCTTGGATGATCCTCAAAGCGTTCTCTGGTTCAAATTCCGGGACGATAACTCGACAGCCTCCCAAAATCATTGATCTTATCAGCAGCATTATACTCGTCACCCAATAATATGTTGAGAATAATAGTTCCACCTTAGAATCGACAATTCCGAATTCCCTGAGAAGAAAAATACAGTATCAAATGAAATTTCGATTGAATAACGCTAGGTCCATTAATAGCCAATGAAAGATCAATTGAATGAGAAAAGCATTCATGTATGAGTGCAAAAAAGAACTTACAAAGAATTGATTCCTCCATTGATGAGACCATAATGTGACATTTTCATCGCCTTTGGTAACCCGGTTGTTCCACTACTAAACAAAATCAGAGCTGTTCCGCGACAATCCACTCGTTTCGGCTCGAAAACCTTCTCTTCTTCAGGAAACGACTTCACCAAATCATGAAAAGTCTTATACACCTTGGACTTTCCGAGAACGATGATACCTAGTTCGATTTTTCTGGTCTTCAAGCATCTCTCTAACCTCTCAACTTGCTCTTCATCGACCACAATGATTTTTGGCTTGACTTTACCTATACAGTGTGCCCAGTCCCCCTCGGTCTGGACTGGATCTATTGCAGAGAATGTGGCTCCCAGGAACATGGTGGAAATTACCGGGATCATGGTATCCATGCCCATTTTGAGGCATGTCAAAACTACATCATCGGGTTTCACTCCAAGATTTCTGAGACTGAGTGCGAACCTGACAGATCTCTGTTTGGCGCTCGTGAATGTTTCTGTAGCTCCTGTATCGCCATGAATCTGGAAAGACATTTTTATTCGAACAAAGGAGAAAAATAATATGATTCATGGATAAGCACAAGATATTCAAAGCAAACATGAACTCATACATACATTAGAATCTAGATAGTTCTTGATACACAGATACAAAGAATTTCTTCAATCAAACGAATTAATTTTCTTGAAATTGAATGGCTTTACCAGAATGTTTCATTTGAATGGAGCGATATACAAATACTTGTCTCAAATCAATTGGCATGCTTGCTTCGTTTCTTGAAATTTCGTGATATTGTGTATTGGTAGGAAAATAAGTTATTTTTGATGTTAATATCTGTAATTGTTTGTTGATGTTGTTATATAATAAATCATTCTTCAATAAGTTATTATTCTTTATAAGAATTTCATCATCATTGAATTTCATATTCAGTATATTGGTTAGGTTCATGGTTCTTTAAATACAAATATCGATACTTCCACGGGAAATGTTCCTCGGAAATCTCTGCTATCATCCCTTTACTAGCAATACCAATCAGACGAACTAGACAAGCCCAGTCAGCACATCCTTTCGTTGTCAACCTCGAAAGATGTCGAACAGCACTTCATCAAGACTCCTTCATCCATAGAACGGCTAGGCTCTGGAATTCATTGCCTGTGGAAGTATTCCCAACAACATATAATCTCCAAAAGTTCAAAAAAAATTCCAATACCTACCTCTTGTCCCTATCCTTCCTAGGAACGAACGATGTTCTTCGAACATTATAGGGATTCCCTTTCGTGCGCTCCAAGCGATAAAAAAAACTTCAAGTGTTGATTTTGAAACATAAATGGACGGCTTTTGAGTTGGTTGCAAAAAAACATTATAACGTCCGACGATCGTAGCACTAGACATATTCATATTCGGGCGGTTGGTAATTCAGTCATTTCCTTTCAACTGGCAACACTGTATGTGTTGACATATTGACGTCTTTATCAAATTAGCGTGAAAGCCCTATGAATTTGCTCAACATAAATAGTATATTTCTTCAGCCCAGAAAACTGCGACTACCAGTGACATGAATTTTAATTCATATTGGTTGAAGAAACTCTCTGCTTGTCTAAAAGGCTTGCAGTGACGATTATACATTATATAAAAAAAAAAAAAAAAAAAAAAAGTTCAAAAAAAATTCCAATACCTACCTCCTGTCCTTATCCTCCCTAGGAACGCACGATGTTCTTTGAACATTATAGGGATTCTCTTTCGTGCGCTCCAAGCGATAAAAAAAAAAAAAAAAAAGTGGTGGGAGATAACTGACCGCCTACGTCCATTCGAGCAAACATGAAGGCGAAGACATGTGGCTGGAGTGCAACGACGAAAACTTCAGGCTCATCTTCACGAAGGAGTTCGTGGATGGGTTGAACTCCAAACCGAACTAAATTCAAAAAGTTGACTGTATTTCTGTATATACCGGAGGTACATTATTAGCGGAAACAATTACATCACATGCATCTTGTGTTATTGTATCTGACTGCGAAGTTTGAAAAAGGTCGTCTTTCTCGTTTCAAAGAATATATCAACTTGGTTCCATACTTATCCCAACCCTTTCCAGCAAACATTTTGATATTGGACATTGATGGCCTAATATATTTTTCCCATACCTGCCATCATTCTTTGAATTTCCTCTCAATTTCAATGGAAATATTTTGTTCTCATACCCCTCCGTTATTATCCCTTGCTGACAATGATATCCCATGGATATCCTTGGAAGATATGTCTTTGATTCATCAGGATTTCTTGTGAATGTCCTTGAGAAATGTCTTATGGAGGTAGGTATATTATATGAAAGATCAGCTTCTTCCAATCAGACATCAATAGGATATCCATGAATAATATACTCGGAATATCAATGGATGATCAATGGATATCTATCGAAATGTCAATGTGATGATTGTGTACTCGCACTTCCTCACCATATTGCACCGTCTTAACGAACTATTTGTTGAACATGACATGAATGTAAGTCACGTGATATAGAAAAAGAACATCAATATTTCCCAGGGAGTTCCCTGTGAGTATGCTTTTATAGTTTTTTGTAACATTGAATGAATAGTGTATTATGCATATATCTGAAAGGAAGTGTGAACAGTTAATAGGATGATTTTTTTGAAAAATATATCCAGAATATAATAATATTATGTAGGTGAATGTTTCAATTATTTCCGGTGCTTATTGAGAAAAAAAAACACAAAGAAATTACAACTTATCTTATTTGAGCTTTAATTATAGCTAATTCAATAGAGATGTATTGTGAAAAATGTCGAAAAAGATAAAGGAAACAGATATATTGTTATGCTCTAGATTCTCGAGACTCTATGGGTCGCTTACATAAGCTATCAACTCGCCTGATTTATCAGCTAAATTATACGTTGTCATGGACAAACAATACTTTATGCAAATAATATATACATTTTCTATTGAGATTTCGCCATCCGTTGACCAGTTGTTAGCTGGCCTAGTGCAACTGATGAGGATTAGCAAGCCGAAAAAGTACCTCTCGCATCAGCTGTCTACGAGGTTGTCTATTTACTTATTATATAAAAAATCAATTCGAATTTTCTGATATTGAGATTGAAAGATGCTGTCTAGGTCGCGTCCTTCAAATACCGTTGAATAATAATTGTTGTAAATGAGGAAATTGATTCTCAGTGAGAATAAAATCGATGTTCGGAAAGTATCTCGAGAGCCACTCAGTCGATTGACTTTTATGGACACTGAGGATGGTGAATTGATTGTCGAAATACGTACTAACACATATTTGAATATTATAATTGTTCTATGGGCTTTTGTATTGAGTGCATTTTCAGTCTCACCATCACTAGAGCCTGACGTCCATGTTAAAATCGAAAATCCAAAAATATACAGCGGTTGAGACCTAGTTTTCCGAAAGATTTCTGAAAAATTATGTAAAGAAATGGAAAAGATCAATCAATGATTGGACTTGATCAGCTTCGCATTTTTAACTCTTAATGTGAAACTGAACATACAATAGTTTCATTAACATTGAAAATTTCTTAGAAAGAAGCCAAATGAAACGAAAAGAAGGTATATTTCTGGTGAACAATCAAATATGTTCTCAAATCAGAAAAGGGAAAATTTTGCCACAAGGCAGAGACAATATTTTTTGGTGAATCGTATTTTCGAAATATGGAATAACTTATTCCCAACAACTCAGTAAATAGTTTCAAAAACAAGATAGACATTTTCTCATTTGCTCAATTGTTTCTATGTATTCTTTTTCATTCGCATGCATTGTATTCAACTTGTTAATCCCTTTAGCTTTTAGGCTTACATAGGACTCTGTCCTCAGCTTTTGAATAACCATGTTGGCCCTCATTAAAAGAACAATAATTAACCGTTACCAAACTACCGTTGAACTGATCGAATCAACAATTGAAAAACATGATTTACATCACCTGTATAATATTGTGACAAAATTTGTCAGCCTGCTCGAAAAAATACACTCCCAAGTTAACAGTAACTTTTTCAAAATCACTTTCACCTCCTGAAAGAATCTTTGCTCTCATCGTTCAAACAGTTTGAACTCTGAAGGAGACTAAACCAGAACTATCAATATACAGTTCTTTTCATTCAAATTCATCGTGTGTCAAGGTGAAGGAACGTGATCCTAATCTCCGTATCGTGTCAATATTAAACTATGGGCTAGTAGTAGTTTTGATGAGATACCTTCATCTCACTGTACCTACAATGAATTCGACAGTGGCGCATCTAAATTTCTGTTTAGGGACTTAGTACAAAGTAATCGCAGATAACTACACAAATCAAATAATTTTTTCTTCGAGCGGCATAAAATGTGGATTTTCTCTGACACTCAACAGGTAGGAAAGGTTTTATTTCTCTGCCTAGACAGGAAAAGTAACTTGAATGGAATTGGTAATTAAAATTGACACTGACATCAGGTGAACACGAAATTATGAAATTTCACACAAAATGGGTTCTATAACATTTGGAGAAGAAAATGTATGTTCCACATGGCAGCAAATGTGATGCTTTGGCTTCCTAGTCTCGCAGTTAATCGGCAGTGAATCTATTACTTTGCTGCCTAGTAAAACGAATAACTATTTTCTCCTAGCGGCATAGAAAGTGGCTTTCCTCTTACACTCAAAAGGCAGTAAGGGTTTATTTTTCTGCCTAGACTGAAAAAGTTCGTTGCTAGGCAACGTTCCAAGTAAATGAAATGAAGTTGGTTATCAAAATTGACACTGACATTGGGTGAACACTGTTCAAATATGATAATACTTTATCAACATGTATAAATCATACATAATACAACCAATAATGTCATTAGGACTCTTCTTTGATTTCATTCATTGAATTTTCTTCTGTTTATCATAACAACTGATCCTCCTTTGTTTAATTGAACTACAAGCTGGTCAGCTAGCTACTTACATCTTCTCCTATATGAAAGAAGATGTTTGAATTACTTTCCTGATCTAGTGACACTACTCCTATGTTCATATGAAATATTAGGTTCAATAGATTTTGAAGTACTGGGTGTTTCCTCAGGAATCCAATCATTAAATGAGTCAACATCATTTTATGGTGTGTCTTCGCGAAATCTTCAAGATCAAAAATATCGTTGAGATTACCAACCTCATTCCGTTTTCTCACGTGTATTATAGAGTTTGTTCTCACTATCTCACTGTCTATAGTCTTAACTAAGTAAGATCTGGAAGCAGCTAACTTCTCTATGATGATAGCTGGATTCCACAGATTTGATGAGATATCTTGAAGCAATACCTGCTCTCCATCAAAAAAATCTGTTTGCTTCGAACTGGTTACATCAAAATTCTCTTGTTGGATCCACTGGTTCTTCAGCATGTCTTCATAAACATCATTCGAATTTCCGAAGGCTTCAATTATTATTCATAGCATATAATCTACTGAGCAAGAACTGTATTGGTGAAAAATTCAAGCTTACAACTGGTGCAGTCTGGTGATTCAATAAACATTGATCGAAATCTTG